TCTATGCTGTCGATTTTTTTCTTTTTCTTTTACTATTACAGCGTGTTACGGGCGAACTCGTCTTCGCCTTCATCAAATGCTTGTCGCAATCTTTCTCCGTTTTCTTCTTCTTCTTTTTTTTTCTCATTTCATCATTATTATTGTCTTGTTACTCTTTGCGTCAAAAAAGAAAAAGAAAACGCACATTTTTCTTCTCTTCTAGATCATTCTTTCAAAACAATAATATTTTAAATTTTTGATCTTATTCCGTAACGCGTATCTCAGTTTGATTTCATCTCTTTCGAATGGCATTGAAGCGTATTAACAAAGAATTACTTGAACTCGAAAAAGAGTATGTTTTGCACGAAACTTCGTTGTTTTGGGAATTTCCCCCCTCTGTTTTTTATTTGTTTAGTCCACCAGCCAATTGCAGTGCCGGCCCAGTTAACGATGACATGTTTCATTATAAGTGTCTTTTTTTCTCGAATGCTCCAATTCGATCGATGCTAATTTTGCTTCTTTTTTTTACGGCAGGCAACAATAATGGGACCGGGTGATAGTCCGTTTCAAGGTGGCGTTTTCTTTCTTTCAATTCATTTCCCGGCCGACTATCCATTCAAACCACCCAAAATCACGTGAGATCAAATCGTTGAAACAAAGCCCATTTTTTAGACTTCGGATCATTTAGATTTACAACCAAAATTTTCCATCCAAATATCAATTCAAATGGAGCTATTTGCCTTGACATTCTTCGTTCACAATGGTCACCAGCTCTAACCATTTCTAAAGTGTTACTTTCAATTTGTTCGCTACTCTGCGATCCGAATCCAGATGTAATTTACTTGGAAAAAACCCTCGTGTCATTGCACAATGCACTAACAATAACTATTTCATTTTAGGATCCATTAGTACCCGATATCGCTCGTACATACAAAACGGATAAGGAAAAATATAATGCTGTATGTTGAAATACAAACATTTCGATAGTTGAATCGATGGTTTTTGTTTTTGTATGTTTAGACGGCGCGACAGTGGACTCAAAAATATGCCATGTAGTGATGAATATATTCAATTACCAACAGCACATTTCTCTTCTTCTTTTTTTTAAAGCTCTTCTTTCTGTCTGTCTGTCTGTCTCTCTCTCTCTTCTTTGTGTTGAATGAAATGGACAAACATAGAAACATCTTGTCTCTCTTTTCCCTTCTTTATTCGAGTGTAACTATTATGTATGTACGATGTTTGTGTGTATTGGAAGAAAGATGAGCTTCAAGTAACAATAAAAAAAAGATGGAGAAAGACAGAAGACGAACTAAAGTTCAAATTGATTAGAGTTTCTTTTTCTGGATGATAATAATCGATGTTCCTTAGTGTCTTTCTTGTTTACTAGACCATCATGCTGTTCTTTTTGCTCACTGTCTCTGTGTGTTTATTGCCTTTGTCAGCTTCACTATCTTCTTTTTCTTTCTGATTAAACAAATTCAACGAAAATTCACCTGAATCGATTCTTATTTAAGTACGTCACACGCTCTGAAAGAATAAAAACATCGAGGAAGAAAAAGTACACGTATATTTTCCTTGTGGACTTTGACTCATGGCGAAAAAGAAGAAAAAACATTCAACGCGGTCGTTAGTGGGAATTTTGTGGGACGAAGCACACTGTGTCATAATTCCTTCTGGAAAGTTCACTTTTGTATTTTTCACTTTTAGACGTTTCAGCTGAGCGAATCTTCAATGGAATCTGTTCTATCGGTGATAAACACGGTTACATTTTCGCGAGAGACATGACGAGAGAAAAAAAATCGTCAATCTTTGTCTTTTTCATTAAGTATTATCAAGTCATAAACGGTGATATTTAAGAGTAGAAAGGTCATTGTCAGTCTAATTGGTCGCAAAGTGACATTCTCATTGATTCAGATACATTGATAACAAACATTGCTACGTTCAATATCACTACTTTTCGTTTTCTCGTGCTTGACATGAATGTTGTAGAGGCTGGTAATTGAATTTGAACTATTCAATTAGATCTCGTGAGTGACGATTACGAAGGAATACATCGATAGAATCATTTCCAAGATCTGTAACTTATTTTCATCGTTTCTTGTGTCTGATAGGATGCGAGATAAGTGCATTTATTTTCTGCTGATAAGAACATTATGTATGATCTTTGAACTCCATAGGGAAAGGAAGCCTAACGTAGCAATATGAAAATAGAATTTATTTTAATAGTCAATATTCGACTATTGTGATTTGAAACGAATTCAGTTTTTAGAGATCAGATGGAACTTACAACAATTTTGAAACAATTACGCGACATAGAACGTGAACCACCACCAAATATCAGCGCGGGACCGGTACGAATATCGTATTTCTGGATCGCTTTTCTGCACATTTCAATGATTATTCGTTTAGGTTGATGCGAATGATCTGTTCAAGTGGCGAGGCAAAATTTTCGGCCCTAGTATGCACAGAAGTCTCTATTGACCCTGCGAAGAAACGTTTGATTTCCCCTAGGTGACTCACCATATGAATCCGGTGTATTTGATCTTACAATTAATTTTCCAGCGAATTATCCATTCAATCCACCAAACATCAGGTTTGTCTCTATCGATTCTTATAGATCATTTCATCTCGCTTAAAATTAGGTTCATTACTAAAATCTACCATCCAAATATCAATTATGAGGGCACGATAGGTCTCGACATACTCCGTAGTAACTGGTCACCGGCACTTAAGATATCTCACGTTTTATTATCGATTTGTTCATTACTATGCGATCCAAATCCGGATGTAAGTTTCACGAATCATTTTTATTCTCTCTCAATCGTCTATTCTGTTCTCTAGGATGCGCTCATGCCCGATATCGCCTATCAATACAAACAAGATCGAGAAGCATACAATGCGGTACGAGGCTAAATATTGCGAGCCTTGATTATCATCTGATATATCGACTATTTTAGACTGCCCGCGAATGGACGCAAACATATGCTATGTGATGAAGTGTTGTCTGCTAATGTGTTTGTTCTTTAACAAATCTTTTTTACAGTAAACTGTTTAAACATATTCCAGAAATAAAAAAGTCTGCTCGATACTGAAATTGACCTTCGTACTCGTTGATTTCTTTCACCTTGTAATAAACGTTATGAAGAGAAAAACAATGAAGTTTGTTTGTTTGTTTGTATCCAAGTTACTTCGTTCAGAGAGAAAGGAAAAGTGTAAGTACTACTCCTATAGACATCGAGTCTCACAAAGGACAGAGTATGGATACAAATGTAGATTATACATCTTTTTGTTCGTCGTCCTCGCTTCACTTATTTTCTCCGTCTTTGTGCGAAGAGTATATTTTATGGTGTAGTTATTTTTTATACGATACTATACTATCATGGTAGCAATGCTCTTTTTTCCATGTTGTTCTCTTTCGACGACCTCTTTCGGAGGAAGATAAATTTTTTCCCTTTGTCCTCTAACACATATAAAGAAAAATACGAGTCGTTGCATTCTCGGATGAAAAATCAAAAGAAAAACAGGCACTGTCGCGTTATCTACGTGACGCATAAGTATTTATCAAAATGGAGTAGAAATGAGTAGTATACGAGAAAAATAGGTAACTAAATAAATATGTGATACCTAATGCGTTTTACTTTTTGTACTCACAATATTGACTACATCTTCCATCCGACCTGTTCTTTTTTTTTGTACGAACTCTCATTCGCAGTCTCATACCTTCTTTTCACATTTGTTTTACCAATGTTTTTGATGCGAGATATTTTCGTTGATTTTTTAAGATAATTTGAGTGTGTGCTTTCTATAACATCAAACATGGTTACCATTGTTTCACACATCTCTGATTATTTTGAGCAATTCAATAGTTCGTTAACGGACACGTTCAAACACTCATCTCAACCCAACGATGTGTCACCTTTATTCTATGTCTTTGATTTCGAACGGTACAGTGATCAAATGGCAACTCTACGCGATTTGCGTACATACATGATTCAACGCTGGCATAATAGCTTCTTCTATGCAATAGCCTACCTATTTTTAATATATAGTAAGTGGAAGACAATGTTCTTATCTGCGAGAAAAGTTCATCTGATGCAATTCATATTTAGCTGGTCAGATTTATATGAAGAACAAACCACGCTTCGAATTACGTTTATGGTTAGCAGCATGGAGTGCTCTATTAGCTGTTTTCTCCATTTTCGGAGCTATGCGAGTTCTACCCGAATTGATCTATGTCATCTACAAACATGGCATCAAGTACTCGATTTGTAACAATTCGAATGCATTCGGTGTTGTTGGATTCTGGTATGTAGGACTGTTGATTAAAACTAATTCGAGATTGATTTGGTTCATGAAGGACATGGGCATTTTGCTTTTCGAAATTACCCGAACTGGTTGACACGGTATTCATCGTTCTACGCAAACAACCGCTGATTTTTCTTCATTGGTATCATCATGCATCGGTTCTGATCTACTGTTGGTTTAGTTACCAAGATTACAGTTCCACTGGAAGGTAAATAGCAACAATAAAAAAGACGATGTGAAATTTTCATTGATGTTCTAGATGGTTTTGCGGATTGAATTATGTTGTTCATGGTATCATGTATTCCGTAAGTTCTTCACGACGATTTTTCTGTAAAACGAATCTGCGTTGTTTGTAGTATTATGCTTTGCGCGCATTGAGAGTCCGTATTCCACGATGGGTATCGATGATCATAACATTGCTTCAGCTAAGTCAAATGATCATTGGTTGCTATATTAATTTAAAAGCATGGGAATATAAAAAGAATGGTGAAATGTGTCAAGTAACTGACGAAAATTTGAAAGTCTCGTTAATAATGTATGGCACATATTTTCTATTGTTTGCTCATTTCTTTCTTGGTTCGTATATATACAAAACAAAGCGAGACAATAAACAAGACGACAAGCAACAAGAGAAGAAAAAAGTTAAACCAAAGAAAATCGATTAGATTTCAAACAAATCGAGACCAAGTTTAAATTCAAAATTTCCAATTAATCAGAATTTTGTTTCCATAGGAAATGCAATATCATCCTTCGTACCATACTTTTATAGTGTAGGAAACCGGTGAACACCTAGTTTTGTCTGGTATTGCATATGAAACCATCGATTTTTTTTGTAATGTCATGCCCTATATTTTCGTTGATGTTGTCGTCGTTGTCCTATGCTTGTTTTTGTTTTAAGAAGAAATATTCTTTCAAAATAAAATTTATGTGCATCCAAAGAACAACAAACATTTATTTTCTCTTCAAACAGTAGAAAATCCATGATTATCTGTCGCGTGGAGAAATCATCTAATCCAAAGATTTGCTATTTTAGATTGAATGATAGAACTCGAAGTTAAGCCATCTCAGATACCAGGTATACTGTTCCTTGTTGTCTTTCCTGTACAAATTCATTTTGTTCATTGTCACTAGGCGCAGGCTCTGGTTTGTACACTCGCAATCCGATTGCGAAAGATTCGTGTGTGTGTGTTTACACTGGTCAAGTTCTGCGAACGATTGATGCTATCCGCTTGGAAGATAAAACTTACTTAATGAGACTTGGCCCACAAGTCTACGTCAATCCTCATGATGATAACAGCATGCTGGGAAGATATATCAATGATCCAAGAAATCGTCTTCTTCATAACGTGTTATTCGACAAACGTCCTGATGAGCAATGTGCTTATGTTATTGCTAAACGAGACATTGCTCGCGGGGAAGAAATCTTTGCTGATTATGGCCGATGGTATTGGTTAGGAAAAACACCGACTCGACTTGATAGACTTCCTATGTGATATATTGAAACGTTCTCTTGTTAAGATATTTTGTAAATAAATATAAAACTAGGATGATACAATCTGACTCAAAGCATAATTCTAGGATAGAGTAGATTCAATCACATGGCGAAAAAAACGAGATTATTCCATGCGTGTAATTATTTTTATTGATACGATTGTCGTTTATTTCATGCTCGAGGCAACAGATCTCGACGATGATCGATGCTCTCGTCATTTATGTGTCGACATGTTTCCAGTTGAAGATAGGACGATTTTCACTAGAACAGTATGGTTCATATGGATTTTCGTAGTTGTGAATGGCCAAATAGTGGATAATAATACGAATTTGACAGCTGCATCGCGTCGTACGCATCAGATAACAACAATTCTCGATAGCCTTTTGAAAAATTACGATGCAAATATTCGACCGAACTTTGGAGGTGAGAAAAAAAGAATGTGCAGAGATGGATTTGACGATTTTTTCCTTAACAATTTTCAGAAAGTCCAACCAAAATCAATTTCGATATCTTAGTTAGTTCATTTGGGCCGATTCAAGATATCGATATGGTTTGTCATCGAATTGAAAAGTACAAATCCATTATTTGATAATTATTTCTAGTCATTTACAATGAATTGCTACTTTCGTCAACGTTGGCGCGATGAACGCCTTCAATTTGACGAAGAAGTCGGTGTTCTACCGTTATCGACACGGATGCTCGAACGACTTTGGAGACCGGATACGATTTTCTACAATTCAAAGTATTCATATCTGCATACGATACCAACCAGTAATCGTCTATGGCGCTTGTTTCCGAATGGTTCTATATGGTATTCATCCAGGTAGAGAATATGACTTAGTATGACAATTGGTAATGTTTTGCTGGTATTTAGAATTACAGTTAAAGCCAGATGCAATATGAATCTACGACATTTTCCGGTCGATACGCAGATTTGTAAATTTTTTGTTGGAAGTTGTACGTTTATTTCGAATTTAATAGCGATGAAATACTTTTCTGTATTTAGTTGCTAACTCAGCGTCTGACGTTCAATATGATTGGCGTTTAGGAAACAATCGAAGTGTAAACTTCGATACGAAAGTATTATTATCTCAATTTGATCTGATTCGATTTCCACAATATGATGAAGTTACTGAAATTAACGGACGTATGTACCAGACTCTTCTTTCCGATTTCGAAACTATGCTGGAACTAATCTTTTAGGTAACTTTTCCGTGCTTCGCGTTGATTTTGTTCTTAAACGACACATGGGTTATTATATTCTGCAAGTTTATATTCCAAGTTCGATGTTAGTCATGCTGTCATGGGTGTCGTTTTTCATTCATCGCGAAGCTACTGCCGATCGGGTCAATATCGGTGTAATGACCTTTCTTAGTTTAGCAACCCTAAGTTTCGATATACGAAATTATACAGCGGCTGTTTCCTATCTCACTGCACTCGATTGGTTTATTTTCATGGCATATGCATTTTTGCTTGCATCTTTACTTCAATTTGCTTTTGTTCATTATTTTACGAAGGTAAAAACACTCCATCGGAAATGTCGTTTTTCTTCTGAATCGTTCGAATCCATTTAGGTCGGGTATGGTGAACCACTTCTTCGCTATCAAGGTTCTCTTGATAGTCTCCTATTTTCCGATAACAGCGCGCGGATAAAGCGAATATCGAAAACGCGAACTTCCATTATCTATTCGCGCTTCATGAATCGAACTCAACAAAACGCATCCGTTCAAAAACAACCCTGGCTAACACGTATTCAATTGAATATATGTCGATTTTGGTTTTGTCTATCCGGTAATGGGGATTACAAGCGTACGATTCGGAAACATGCTTCACGTTATGGTATCAATAGTCCTAGCGAACTAGATGTCTTTGCTCGTGTTGTATTTCCGCTTAGTTTTGCGTTGTTTAATATTTTGTATTGGTTTTATTTTCTTCATTTACACTATTGAAGATGGAAAGAAAAGAAAAACGAAAGAATTTTACTTCGAGTGACCGAAAACATTTTATTTTTCTTCTTTTATTATGACATCTGAAATTTACATTGTATTGCAGTTGTTGATCATCATCATCATCATCATAATCGTGAAGGAGAGACGGCGAGCAGGAGCGCAAAAGAAAGAGAGAAAAAAAACGGAAAGTAATAAGCATTCTTCGAGAGGTAAAGAAGCAAAAATATTCAATTTTTTTCTCTCTCCCACCATACAACATTCTGATTTTTCTCCTTTGTGCGATTGTTTCATACAAACATGACATCGTACTTAGCACCGGAAAGTCCACGGCCTTATTCCATCGCTGCTGAACGATACTTTCAAAGGCTTAACTTTGCTACCGGCCTACCCGTTAGCAACAACGAACGAATTTATCCGCTGAGCAAATGTCGTTTCGGTGCGCAATATGAAAAAGAATTGTGCACATATTTAGCCAAACATGCTGAAGTGAATTGTAGTGATCGAGTATGTCTTGTTGGCGAAGAGTCTGAATGGGCAACGATCATTCAAGAACGACTGTTTCTCAACAAACCAGTTCAATTTATCGATTGTAAATTACATCATGGTAAGTTGAACACTTGTTTTCTCTTCTCGACTGAAATCTGAGTATGAAAGCAAAGGTTAATTAGGAAGAATAGTCGAGACTGTCAAAGATAAGAATAACGGACTTCAGGTGGTTATCAAAATAACTCTATTTATCTATATATTTAAAGCAATCGATAAAAAAAACCTTTTCGTTTTCTTATGTTGATCTTTCTTTTCACACAGAACATGATTTATTAATATAATATTGAATGTTGTCAACCGACATTTCTTTCTTCTGTAACAACGACTGTTACAATCATGTTGACAAGTTAAACAAAAATAGCTTTTTTTTCTCAACAAAGCAGATTCAAAAGAAAACAGATTGCCTAGTCGATAATTATATACAAATGTCTTCCATTTGCAAGCGGAATGATTTCGAACGAGTTTCATCGTTTAGACGCTATCAAAGAACAACTAGCATCAAATATATTCGATCGAATCATTCTCTTCAACTGTCTTCATCATATCAACCATGTGACAATGAGCGAAAATATTCCTAAATTACACGCGAATATCAACAGTCCTTTGATGCTATGCATAAATCTATTACGCAAAGCATTGATATCAACTGGTAGACTAGTAATTGTCCATCGCGAGCCGAATATTAATACGTTGCCATTACCTGTCGAAGTAATTGAAACTTGGTACAATACGGATGAACATAGTTCACGAATAATCGAACAGTTACACGGGGAGAAACGGCCGAACTTAGAATTTTTATGGGAAGTTGAAACAATCAAATTTACAATGCAAAAATTAAGTTGGTACAACGAACTGATGCATCGGACATTCTATCCGTTACCATTATGCAATCAAAAACAAGTGAAACTTAACCGAAAGATGTTTTCAACGTTCATTCATGTTCTCTTTTAGATTGCTGATGGTTTACGATTGTTAAATGAAACATATTTTAAATATCATCATGGTTTATTGGAAATGTACGATCGTTTATTGTTTCTAACTGTTCAAACAAAATTTGAGCCAGTTAAATCAAGTGTTTCTCTACCGAAAACAAGTCAATCTCTTCTGAACAGCCGGTTTCGACGAAAACCAGGACCTCTACCGACGGGTTCGCATGAGAAATGGGATTATAAGATGTTGGTTACTGATGAAGTCACACAACTATTGGATATAAATAAACAACGGCAAAGTTCGAAACGAAATCTTTTTAAATCGTCTCTTCCTTTCATGTAAAAAACAAAAGCAAAAACTTTTTATTGAAATAAATACCAAAATAAATATTCTCTCGAAAAACACGTACCTATCAGCTGCTTTGTTTCTCAGCGATTTTTCGACGAATAAAAGGTAGACACAATCCTTTATCGATACTCTGACAATGTACGCGGGTTTCAATTACTTTCTCTTCGTCTGGACTATTTTAAATCAAGTGGTTCAAGGAGACGAACTGTATGCAATGGAATTCCATTCACGTAAGTTCGACAAACTGAATCTGTCCTATTGTACATTAATTTGCAATAGAATTTAGTACTTTATCGTTACCAAGAGATTTACTTTCGAACGGTATGTTGATGGTTTATTCTCAATCGATCCGGATGGTTACAGCAAATGAACGAGATGTGTCGAATAATCAACGTCAATTACAGATAAGTTTTGCTCTGGATAAGGCTTTTACAGAGATGTATTCGAATATGTATCGCCTTGAACTTGCTGTTCAACGTATACCTGCTCAGATTAAAACTATATTAAAACTACTCATGTCGGGATCAGCAAATATGATTCAACGGATGTTCCCTACGATCGTGAATAGTATTACTCGAATTGCAAGAGAAAATGAGAGTTTTTTCCGTAAGAGTGTCAATCAATTGGCCGATATTTCCAATCTGTTCGAGAATATTCAACCAGTTATTAATCCAACTGATGTAATTCTCTATGATGAAGTCGAGTCAAAAACTATACTTGCCAATATTCGAAGAAAATTGAGAGAAACAGCTGACCTAATCGGTAATCTGGATATAAAAGCAAAATTTAATCTTACTGTTCCAATCAAAATCAACTGTGTTCTTCCAATTCTAAACCAACTTGAACATGATGCTTATTTTCTCCATCAATTATCAAGTATTTCCACATACGTATTGACCCATTACATTCTCAATCAAACTGCTGGTATGGGTAAATATATTTTGTTATCCAACAATGAAGAGCGTTCTACGATTTATTCAAATTTAACTCAAAAGCTAACAAACACTCGGCATGAAGTGGATCAATTGTTAAACGAACGTCGAATTGAGTATAATCATGGATATAATTTGCTACAACAAGCATATGAGAAACTCTTCGACGAATATCCCTCGGAAAATTGCACAAACTGATCATTTATCGGCAGTCTACTCTTTTGGTCGGATGAAAAAGAGCTCATATTTTACCTACCAAAGTTCCTTTTTATGCAAAATTAGTGCAGTGATTCTCGACTTTTAACATTTTCTTGTTATGTTTATCATTCCAGAAAAAATCGACTATTGCCATAGAAATAAATAGAGTTTTCTCCATCTCGAAAGTATATTGAGTACAATCTCGACAGAGATAAGTCGTTTGGGTCTCGTTTATTCGTAAACTTAATAGTTATTTATGCATATTCGATATCTCTTCAATGCTGACTTGATCAATGCACTTCATCGGATGTCACTTTGTATCAATTTTCAATCTGCCTATTCTTATTCAGTGAGCATGCTTTTGAAGTTCATGTTCATATTACATTCTTGCTTCTACTGTTACAATTTTTTTATTAACGTTATTATTTCATTTCTTGTCAAATGCTCTAGACATTAATCTGGCTGCAGATGTCGCACAGCTTGAATCTATATTAATATAAGACCAGCAAGTAGAGCGACGGAAACGAACGAACGATGTTAGGCCGTGAATTGATAAAAAATACACCAATAGAGTGGTGATTGCGAATATATTTATATTTGTTGTTGTTATTATCAAAAGTTGACATCGAAAGTAATGGGAAAAGCATATTTTCACCTTGGTGTATTATGCACATAAGGCCCGAATCTAACATATGAGCATCTCACCTTCGAACAACTATTAACCATTGACATAGCTAACCTCAATGAGATTTTTTCATCGGATAAAATACGACAATCTGTAAGATAATAGTTAGAGAAGGTAGTTTACTTCATCAGTGTGTCTATTTCTCCTTCTTTCGCTACCTACAAATCATAATCGAGTGCGTACTGTTGATAGAGGACTCAAACAGACAGACTAATTCAAGGTGAATTAAGAAACATCATTGGCTATTTTACGTAGCAACGTGAATTGTATTGGTTAACTCAATGTTAAATTTTTCCGTCTGTTTGACTCCAATCAAACAAACCCTCACTTACTTTTCTTCATGAGACGTGATTCACCGAAATCATTAGCGCTCTTGCACATATCACAATGACACATTTACTAACGCATCTATACCGTTCGACTGGTTTCTTAACTTGTTCATTGATTCTTTTAACATTTTGTCAGATACATCGTTCAAACAAGATGAGCATAAAACCGTACATTCCTGTGAACGTATTCCGTAAAATGGATGTGGAATCAATTCTTAGTATTGCATTACCAGCACAACTGGATAAATACACTGAAAGACGTTATGATCATCATCACAGTCGTCGGACAATGCTGTATTATCTATTAGGAATGCAGAGAAGTGAAAATAACGAACAGTTGATGAAATTAGTTAATGACTGCAGACGGAATATAGATTGGGTAGAGATTGAAACAATTTATAACAAGTTAAAAACGACTATCGAACCATATCAGAAACAGAACAACGCCGAACATCTTGGTACGTATTGGGAATTGGAAAGAAGTTTTGATCGTGAAGGTGCGAGACGATCAAAAGAATATATATCGAAATATCGCAAAAATGGTTTTCTTACAAATGAATTGAAATTATACTGGAATTATAATCAGATCAAAATGTTAAATCAACCCGATCAGTTCAATCCAGATACAGATCAAGATTCTCATGATAGTCTTGCATTATCGCCTGTTCACGTGCGAAAAAATGCCGGCAAAGTAGAATACATTCGATCCGGTATTGAAGATGCAGTTTTTAGAGTTCCTGATGATCATCAAGTTATTGTGCTTGACTTTGCCGATGAACGTATGCCTGGCGGTTATTTTCTTGAGAATGCTCGTACTCAGGAAGAGGTTTGTCAAACAATTCGAATTGACTTCATAGATCGATTATGGTTCTTCTAGGTTATTCTCTACAATTCTGATGGATATCGTGCACTGTTAGATCTAAAATATAAGATCATGGATGGCGGATATATGCTACCTGAGTTTGGTGTCGCTTACATAAAAAATGTTCGATTTTTCCAGAATAATCTTTCAAATGGACGTTTAGCGGATCTTATTGTCGCTGCTTGTAAGTATTTGTAAAGCATATCTTGTTTACGGAGTCAATCAATCAGAACATACTATCTATCGTGCCTAGAAATTCATCCTTCGAGGGAAAAACTGTTGGGAATGTCAGTTATAATGAATCACTCACGGAAATTATCGATTTCCTTACATGTTTCTGTTTTTTTTTCTCCCAGATCAAATACATTCCTAAATTGTGTATTCCCAATCGAGTTAATATTCATGACATGCAAGAGTTAACATGCTAACTTATCTTTCAACGAAGGATGATGATTGATAGAGTTATATCGACATGAGTAGTCAAGGTGCTTTCTTATTTTACACATCCATGTTTTGTCTCGTCTAGGTTACGATCTTTCCGGTATGGGTGAAGGTTTATACAAACCACCCTCACGTGCAAATGAGAACGAATTGTATAGGCGTACATATGAAAAACTTCAAACAATTATTGCATCTGCTGTTGCTAATACAGATGGTGATGGTTCGAAGACGTATTTACTACTGGGACCGATTGGTACTGGTGCATTTGCAAATAGTATAGACATGATTGCCAAGATCTTCTCGGAGATTTTGAACAAACCATTAATGAATTCTCAGTCGGATGATCTGTCGACGAATGGTGAGAACGCAATTCGGTATGCATTTAAAGAGATTTGGTTCGTATCAATTGATGAACTCGGAGACTTTAAAACACATTTCGAAGGTGTTAAGTCAAACAAAGACGATGAACAACTATGAAGAAGTATTTTAAGAAAAGAAAACATCTATGTTTTATTTATTAATCTTATTTTGTAAAAAGACAAACAAAAGAAAGGGAGAGAAAGCGAGACGAACTCATCCAAATATATCAGTCAAACATGATGAAGAAAAGCAAAGCAAGATTTCGTTCGCCACTATTAAATATACTCGGTTGTGTAATATTTATTGGCGTCCTTCTTTAAGATAACATGTAACGGGTTGAATTGTGTCGTTTTACGCGAAATACCTTCGAAGTTATTTGGGCCATGGGATAGTAGAGGTTGTTTAACGTTTGAAGTTCGACGCGATTGAGATGCACTACTTACTAATGATCCACCACAAACTGTGCCTTCGTTTTCGCTCATAGTTGCATCAATTAGACTCAAATAGGCACTTTTGACTGTTTCATCAAGATGTTCATCGTGTAACAGAGGAGTTAATAGACCTTCTCTTTCTTCAGCTAGAGAGTTCATTGAAATATGATTTGGAATAACAATAGGAGATGTCGTTGTATTCGCCGGAGTGGATGAAGAACCGTCACTGAGTGGATTAACAACAACAGTTAGAGGAATAGGTAATGACGATGCAGGCGGATTGTTCTCAGATTTATCAGGTAAATCGATGCCATAGATCTTCGTTGGTTCTGTTGGTTTCGTTACTACGGATGGTGGATCATCACTGAAATCAGCACCGTAAATACCACTATCAGCCACTGTCAACGCAGGTTTGAGTACAGCAGGTGCTGATGCTGTTGTCACTACTTCTGTGTGTCCTAAAGTAGTATCTTTAACAGTCGTCGACAAGCCACTGGCTGCTGCTGTTGTTGTTGTTGCCGCTGGTGCGGTTGTTGTCGACATCGTATGAGATTTAAATCGCGATGTATTCACATCGGAGAGGTTAACTGTTCTTTCCGGTATTAACTTTGGTTTTGCTGCTGGTGCTGGTGTAGGTTTCGATGTGTTGGTAGTAGTTGCTGCTGTTTGTTGAAGCAATGGAGCTTTATCCAATGATTTCGCACCTGGTTTTGACGCTACACTGTTAAAAGATGGTGGCGATGAAGCATTTTTCTTTCCAGCGTTTGTTCCTGATGACGCTACCGCTAACGTCGTCGATTTTGCTCCTGGTGCTCTGGTTTGTCGTCTGAAAAAATGCGAAGATATGCTAATCTTAATAGAAATAACTTGTCAGAAAACATTACCGTTTAATAAAGAGAAATATACCGACACCCACAAGGATAGCAATTACAAGCACGAATACACCGGCAATAGTGCCAATAATAATTTCTACAAGAAGAAACAAATCCGTAATTGACTATCGGATAAGAGAATATTTAATTATCTCTATACCTTTCTTGTATGTGCGTTTCGCAGTTGTTTCATTTGATGTTCGATTAGTATTCTCTTCAACGGTCGGAACAACAATAGTTGTTAACGGAATCGTCGCCGATGTTGTGCTTGTCATCATGGAAGATATCGATGGTTCCGAGGAAGAATCTATTGCAATTCCATCAGCATCATATTGTGCACGTGCAATTGATGGCACGACTACAATTAACCAATCAAGAGAATATCGAAATTCCATTCGTCTTACCTTTATATCGAATTTTGAAATATCGCGGTCGTTTTGATGCTGATGTTTGCAATGACATATACAAAGAATTCGATGAGATTAGATAGCGCGTATTCGGTGTTGGAGTATATGGTGACCGATCAGCACCACACCATGTATGATAGGATTTCCATACTGGAAGTGAGTTTCTTTCGACGTTAGATTTATCTGATGGCAAATTTGTTGATATCGAATTTAAATATCCAAAAATTTCCAAGTAATCAGACCGACATTTATAAGTATCCAGCAAACTTATATGAACTGGAGATAATTCAATATACATCGATGGATCGGCTTCTACACAAAGTTCAAAGAAAGCAAATTCAGTTGCGAACAAACCATCTTCATTTACCAATATTAATTGAGCATTTGAGATTATCAGCCATGGGATGTGGATAAGCTGGTGAAACAATGAAACCATAGAGTGTATTTCGAATTGGTTCATTGTCCACACACATCGTATGAACTAACAGAGAAAGAAAAACCAGAACTAATAGATGCGTTTCGATGGATTTTGCTCAGTTTACTTTGTGTACAAGTATATTTCACAAAAAAGTATGTCGGTGCATAGGTTCCACCACTACATTGTATATAATTTCGACTGGAAACTTCAATGAAACACGTTTTATTTCCTTCACATAATGAACCATCGATGGATCCTTGACAGTGCACCAAATAATCTGAATGCACATCCGGTTCACACATTTGCGTACGGCGATGAACTTTCCGTATCGATACGTCTGTTAATAAAGCCGTTTCATCTGGACATGAGAGCTGATGCCGTCCTTCTTCAGTTGCACACCAAAATTTATCGTATGTTTTCGCAGAAACTATTCGGAAACAAACAAAGGAAATCCTTGAATGAAAGTCAATCTAGCTTTATCTATATATCATGATTGAAAAAGAAAAGAAAGCATTTATCCTCGAGGGATAAAACGTGATCTTATCTTCTAATCACAAATAAATAATTTTATCGAGGAATACATTTACATCCGTGCACATAAGATAACTTTTTTTTTCTTTTCGTGAAGATGAGATCAATTTCTATTAATTTCTAAAAGTTCATACAGCTTTAATCGGATGTCGTCTAAGAGACTGCTAAGATAGGATTTCTTAATCTTATAAATATTTGCTTCCTCATCATCTAACTATTTCAAATGACATCTAAGACATCGGCTTATGGCGAATATAAATTAATAACAAAGATGACATCATGGCATTTTTTTCTCAGAAGAGGAAGAAGAAAAGCATCCAATTATTTCGAATACTCGCCTGACTCGCTTTTCACTTTGAGAATGAATTTATAGGTCGCTAATTGATACGTACCCATTTGTGAGCAATAGTACAGACTGGTGAAAATTACCAGAAGACACTCAGGCCGAAGCCATACGACCATCGTACATCGGCCGTAGGAATCTGTTTTTGATTTAGTTGTTTTTGATTTGATCGTTAAATGTTGCCATAATGGGAAGAACAGATACAATTTCTACTGTACAATTGACATCTGAAGTAAATGAAAAACATCAATAACTGAGAATAGTCATACTAATATGATGACAAACACTTGTTCTTCTTCTTCTTAATATTAACACGCTGATTAGATCATCGAATAGTGTATATCGAACCCATGATGGATATTTATTCTCTTCAGTGTGCATATATGTATACATTCAGGGAGGGAAAATGGTGCATTATCTCTGTTGAAAATCAGACTCGTGTCGATAATTCTTTGCATGTACAAGGAAAATCAAAGCGAATACCATTTCTTGTTAAGAATAATAATCAAACTCTCCAATCAATAACAAAATATCTATACATTTGACTTATCAGTACATACAATCGACGTTAGTTTTTCTATATATCGCGATGATGAGAAGATATTTACGGATATGTATGCGTGAGAGCGAGGCGTCCATCTTAGTTCTTTGTCCTTGTACTAAAATCATTTACAGATCTCTCATCTTCTTTTCTGTCTACATACTCTCAGTTTCTGCTCGTTTATTATGATAACATAACTGAAAGATCGATGTTGCTATCCCTTAATAATACGCATACGAAGATATATATGCTCGTCCCGCCTTTTCGCTAACCCGTTCTGAAAATAGTTCTTGTAATGAGTTGATGATTTGCTTTGATTACGAGCTATGAGTTCGACTTCAGACAAGACAATCATTTCTTGTCTAATGAGGAATATATGTATGCATACAGATATTTATTCTATTGTGCTGTGGGTAATACTTTCTCTCACTGATCATGTTCTTGTCGGTCAAAAGGGAAAATGACAATTATGAAAGATGATCGGAGATACCGAGCCTATCCTTCTCTTTTTTTAATGTCTTGGTTTATGCAAATATACAAATAAACACAACATAGAAATTGATTTAGATTGTCTCGTTGCCTATACATAGACCGAAAGCGTTTTCATATGTATATAGACATACATATTCGTATACACTAAGCGATTCCATCCTACTGTGCACGGGCAAACAGCAAGAATAATTGACTGATGATCTTCTGAAATGATGATGAAGATGAAAATGAGGAGTATGATGATGATGATGATGATAGTGCAATAAACATGCAACTGTCTGTCGGTTTTGTCATTTTATATTATAAATTCAAATTTAAATGAGATCGATGTCATACTCTGTTGAATTGTGATAGGAATGCAGATGTGTACTAAAACGGGAAAGAGAACGAGAGGAAGCGTATATTTATATATTCATTGTCTTGAGGGTGGGTCGAGATATACAGATGTGAATTTCCGCATATGTGATTAGAAAAGGTATTTAGCTTTTGTTCGCTAGACTTATCTTCACTAAACAATGAATGATCTCGATCTGCATATGTCAGGTGTGGGAGACATGTATATTCGAGCAGATAACTTACTGATCTTCTAGTTACACTGGTATTGTTTCTCTTTTGTGTTATTGAAATAATTCTATCTAAGAAAATCTTCTTTCGCGTCTCTTTCTTCTTCTTCTTCTTCTTCTTCGTCTTCGTCTTCTACTACTATTTCTTTTTGTTCGCTTAATAAAAGGAAAGGACAGATTTAATAAATAGGATACATACAAGTATTTTTACACCCGTCTTTTTCTTGTTCAGAAATAAGTGATGGTTACACATTGCCGC